AGCCTCTCTGCTCCTATGATGCTGCTTGGCCTGCTGTGTTCATCCAGCCCTGCACCTTGTTGTCTCTTACACTCTGAACCTACCTTGTTGTATAGTAGCTAAGATGCGTAATGATTCCCTTTAATGTTTGCCTCACAAAAACACAGATTAACTGGCTATTGTCACTTTGCTCTTTGCAGGGTGTTGCCAGATGCTGTATTTCCTCCATTGCACTGGTGGCTACATTTCAAAAGTACAATTTAAAAGCAAATCTTTTCATGGTTTTTCTGCTTTCACTCATACCAATATACTCTTTAACTGCAGCCATGTGCTTTGTTACTAGCGTTGCGTCCCAGTTTATTTTGCTTGATTAAATACAGGCTCTGCCTTAGCCAGGATTAGCTGTCTTGCCAATTGGCTCTCCTCCGCCACTTTGGCTGCAGTGTTTGTTATCTAAAAGATGCACTGCAGCAACTTTCGTAAACCTTGTTAGACAACATCTTGCAAACCCACCTCTGCACCACCTAGAAAGAGAATGGCAGCAGATGTATGGGTGTATGATCACCTCTGGATTCGTGTCTTAAGTCGCACACCATTCTGATATTGCCACTCTTTCATCGTTATTGTGTGAAATACCTTCACCATGTAGATTACAATGATTCAAAAAGTTAGCTCACTACGGTATTCACAAAGATGACGAGCGATGGACTGTAATTCCTGGTTGAGATAATGTTCATCCCATGAATGAAAGAAGAAAAGCTTTGACAATGTTTGGCAATACTGAGGGAGCTTTCTGTGACCTAATCAGCAGTGTACATATCTTGGGAGTGGTTGAAGAAGCGAGAGGGCAGGGAACCATACTGTGTTTCTAGCCTATGTTTTATGTCCCATGTGATTAGTTTGGTGGAACGGAAGGAGTTTTATTTTGCAAGTAACCCATGCTGTGTATGGTGCCTGAATTGGAAATTTTTCTTCCCAAGGTTAAACACTCCTGACTATGTGGAATGCAAAAATTCACAAATTTATTGAAAGAAATTAAGGGATTATTGCCCTGATTGAGGTATTTTTGTCTGACTTTCCCAGGATGTGAGAGGGAAGCGACATATCATTAATTCCCTCATCTCGGGAGCAATTGCTGGAGCTGTTGCAAAGACAGTGGTAGCACCGCTGGATAGAGCCAAAATAATATTTCAAGGTAGGAAGAGATGGCCAGGGCGGAATTCGTTGTTTATTCTGGCTGTGCTCTACATTTCCAATAAAATAAAGAGAATGTAACAGTGCAAGCTCAATTTCGGTTTATGGCATCTTCCCCAGTCCTTGGAATTTACCCAATGTTGGTAAACGTAGATTAGCATCTGGCTTAGAGGGTACATGAGAACATACAATTGAGGCTGTGGTCAGACCAGCCATTATCTTATTGAATGGAGGAGTAGACACATAGGGTGGAGTGGCCAACTAGTCCTAATTTGTGTGTTTGTACACAAGAGACTGGCTTGAGCCTGAAAGTTAGGGATAAGAGTGCTGCCTGATATTGAACTGAACTGTAGAGATCTAAAGATGACAAGCTTCATCCATGCACTGTATGCTGAGTTAGTTGTTTGAGGGTCACTGCATTAGAGCTGCTTTTTTTTTGTGGGGGGGGTTGCGTATGGGGAGGGCAGCAAAGAAAATCGGCCCAAGTTCCAGGGCGTGGGTTCAAATCCAGTGTGAACATACTCTAGTCATCCTTCTCTCTCTATTGCACTAGCACCTACTCGTTCGGTCTTGAACGTACGTAAGGCTGTGATGATGCCATTCATCCCTCTCCATTGGTTTGGGAATTTGGCCTACTAATGCTGAGTGAATAAAGTTGTACAAATGAACTTTTGTGACAAAGTTTGAGCAAGCTTTACTCTGTTGTGCCTAACCTAAGAATACTTGATACCTGCATTGAACCTGATGCACGGCTCTGCATTTATGTTGGTGGAATTGCTGCTCCAACTTTGTCAAGTCTAACTGATCATTATTTTTTTCCCTGCATCCACAGTATCTTCAAGAGGATTCTCAGCCAAGGTGAGGTTATTTCTTTTCTTATTTCACTGTGTACACTCTCTATGACTCCCCCAATTGACCATCTGTCTGTATATTGCACATTATTTGTGCCTTGGTGCTTAGGAGAGGAAATAAAGTAAACCAATCATCTGTTGGTTTCTTCTGACCCCTTTAAAAACCTGAATGACCTGAAATGTGTCTCAAACCAATCCGTTTCCAATCAACTGGGAACAGGGTAGGCTTTAGGCTGTGGCCTTAAAGAATACACCCAGCGCTATCAGCAGAATAATGTGTAATATGTTGTACAAAATAACACATCACTAGACAGTTTCACATGAATATGCATGAAGTTGATAGTTTTTTAAAAACAAATAGAGCTATAAATTTTTATAAATCTCTCTGGTTAGGCCTCAGATGGAACATTCTGTCCATTCCATTACTTCGGTAAAGATGTCAAAGCCTTGGACAGGTGACAGAGGAGTGTTGTCTTAATGATTCCGAGGGATGACTTGGTCAATCTTGTGTTGAGAGACTGAAGAACCTGGGATTGCTCTCAGAGCAGAGAAAGTTAAGAAGAGATCCAGTAGAAATGTTCAAAATTATGAAGGGTTTTGATGAGAAGGTTGGGAGAAGAGATGGGAAGAGCTTTCTTTTTCCACTTGCGTAAATGTTAAACTCTTACTAAAATATCTAGAAGCAGTGAGAATTTTTTAAGTGAGTTAAGGATATCCTCAAAGGCTGATGGGTACGTTTTTAATAGTAACTTGCCTTTTTTTTTGAAAAAAGGGAATTAACAATAAGCAAGAAACTAACTGGGCAATGGAACTGATCTGTTTTTTTTTCCAAAGACCAAAAAGTTCCTGATTTTAAATGTTCAGTCCCATAATCACAGATTCTTGCATATTGATGGCACTTTCTTGGTAGTATTTTTGTAAAACAATTTAAAAATTGATATTATTTGTAAAGCAAATATCAGGATTTGCAGCTAGGTGTTGAAAATAGTAAATGAAACATTTCTAATTTAGCTAGGTTTTATCATTACAGTGGCTACATTATATGCAAATTTTAGAATACTTATGTAAATTATTCTAGGATTTCCTGAGCCCGTGTAAAGCACTGTGTATAAATGCAAGTCATTTTCATTGTGTACCTGTGTACTCTGTCTTTCCACTTCCACTTGGAGGGAGTTTCTTAGTTCAGTTAGTGTGAAGTTACTCTTAAAGTTGGTTTATATCATTTGAGCAGAACTATCAATTTTAATGAAGTGGGAATTTCCTGTTTCTGTGTTTGTAGACTGAATATCCATTTGTTTCTAATACGTTTGAAAACGAGTAATTTCCTGGAAGGCATTTTCACCAAATGTGTTTTGAAGAGCACTAATTTGAAGTGCAGTGGGATTTGGGATTAAAGTTAACAGCTCTTCCAAAGAATTGGCTTAGGTGTGAAGGACTAAATTGCTGCCTTATGTACTATAAAGTGTTTTGGTTGGTGGATCTTCAAGAATGAAAATCGTTTATAGTTTTAAGAGGAATATCGTCCTACTCTCTTCCATTGCATCCCTCTTTAAATTACCCAAGGGAAGTAACGTGAGATATAAATCTTTGAGCATCCACAGCTTTAGCTGCTTGCATCACCTGACAAAACATTATGCACTCTGCTATCAGTTGCTCTGAAAGTTAGTTGGGCTGTAAAAGTTGCAAATAAGTTACAGTTGAGACATTGGCTTTGTAGCAGTATGTAGGGAAGAATTAGAGTTTACGTATTTCTGGTTCATATTTCAGATGGCTAGTTTGAAGTGTGCTTGTGTGTCAGAGGTTACAAAGAAAGACAAGCTTTCATTTGAGTAACACCTTTGACTTCAGGATGTTTCAAAACACTTTCCAGTCAAAAACTATTTTTTGAATTGAAATCCCTGTTGTAATGCAGAAAACCTGCCAATTTGTGCCAAGAAAGCGCCTATAAGCAATATATTGATACGACTCATAGTTATTTACAGCACAGAAGAAGGCCATCTGGCCCATATGTTCATATGACTTCAGCTGTTAGCAGGAGAAGTGGCCTTGCACTTTCAGGGATCTCACTCTGGGAGTATGGGAGCTATGTGCACCGCTGCTGTGGCAGGGGTGAAAACTCTCAAAGGTTGCTGGCACCCAGAGTCTATAGCATGAGCCGCACTGTTAACAGTATTCTCCACTCAACACTTCTGTTGGCATGTTTGTTTACAAGTTTGTACCATCTTGTCTTTGACTAGAAACACTGCTACTACCCAAAAGCACGATGCCATGCACTAATAGCCTATGTTAAAATAGCACTTGTGCCTTGCATTTAAAGATACCTCACCAGATCATTTTCAAACAGAATTTGACACTTAGCCACACAGATGTTTGGGCAGATGATCAAAAGCTTACTGAAGGACATTTGTTTGAGAAGTATCATAAAGGAGAAAGCAGTGAGGATATGTAGGAAGCAAGTTCTTGAGCTAACTTTTAACATTTTGAGGTGGTTTGGATTGTAACAAGCAAAAGCCACAATTTGAAGAGGTCTGCCCAGTATATTGGCCAACAGTTCACCTTCACTAAAACACCAGAAAAGAATAACTCTTCATTTATCACTTCGCTGCCTTTGGGAGTTTGTTATGTGCAAATGGTTTTGTTTTTCTGCAGAGCACTGTCTGCAATTCAGAAGTAATTTGTTGTCTGTGCAGCACTTTGGCATGCCCTGAGGAGGTACAAAAGAGCTTTATCAATGCTCATCAGTTCATTCTTCATACAGCACCGTTACTTTGCATGCCCCAAGAGGCTTGGCAAAGAAAATGCAGTTGCTGAATCGTGACAGAGGAAAGTGTCTAAGAGCTTGATCCAAGAAATTTGTTCGGAGTGGATTGATTTTGAGACAGGTTTGCAGAGAATTGAACTGTGGCACTTTGAAAGCTGTGCCATGGGTGAAATGAGAGGCAGGAGATCTGTCTGTGATCAGAGGAGGAAGTCTGTCTTTCCCTTGTGGTGGTGAAGTGGATTGACATGCTTTGAGATTTTTTTAAAATTCTATTCAATCCAGTTGCATAGCTGTTATCAGAAGCCATTGCTTTCTGCAGCACTGGGCAATGTCAGTGTTAACTAGATTGAGCTCTGGTACTAGGTGTTAGAAGGTCCGATTGTGATGACAAAAAATTGGTTTGACTTTCCTTGAATAAACTCTGACATGTATAAAAGACATACATGGCTTTAGGACATCCAATGAAAGTTAAGTGTAGTCACTGTTGTAATAAAGGAAACACAGGCTAATCTACATGGACCATGATCCTGTGCACAGCAACGTTGCAACAAATAGGTGATATTTTGTTGGTTGAGCAATAAATATTGGCCAGGACTTCAGGAAGAGCTCTTCTGTTCTTTTTTTTGAAATAGTGGCTATGAATTCCTTTATATCCAGCTAAGCGGATAGGTAGGGCCTTGGTTATCATTTTATTGGAAAGACACACCTCCTACAGTACAATACTGTCCATAAGTGTAAACCTGGATTACATGCTCAAGTTTATGGGTGATCTAATTAATGTGTTTAAGATGATGAAAGGATTTGACGTGGTGGGGAAAGAGAATCTATTTCTTGAGTAACTGAAATCAAATGGGACACCATCATAAAATTAGGGCTAGACTATTCAGAGGCAAAAATAGGAAGTACTTTGGAGGCTGATGGAAATCTGGAAAATTCCTCTCCAAATATTTGTACATGTTGGAACATTTTTGGGAATTTTCCAGGTCAATTTCAAAAGCTTTTTGTTGGCCATAATTGATGGTGCCACGGTTGTGCCCACATAGTGAGAAGGAGCAAAATTCATGTATGCAGTTGATTGGGGAAGAAACTTCCACACACATCTGCATCAGTGGTTGATAGGTCAAATGCCAGCTTTGTGTATGTGATCCAAACAGACTCGGGTTAGTTTCAGTGCTGAGGGAATGTTGCACTGTCCTGGGGCTTCATTTTTCAGATGAGACATTTAAACTAAGACCAACTGCCTGTTAAGATTAAAAAGATCCCAAGACACTCTTTGGAGAACCACGTAGTTCTTGCAGGTGTCCTGACCAACCTTTGCACTTTTTTTGACTGATGTCACCTAAAATAATCATATAGTGACCTCCATTGTTGCTTGTGGGAATTGCTGTGTATAAATTGTTTGCTCTATTTGTGTACAGCAAGTACTGTGCAGTTCAAAAAACATTTTATTTGGTCGCAAAATGTTTATGAAGTCCTGAGGTTGTGCAGGGAGTGTTTGAAATGTGACTTTTGCACTCTTTCTACGCCTTGACCATCTTTTCTATATCTTGTTGATTTCTCTCTCCATTGTACACTTGCACACTCTGTCTACTCCAGCTTACCCATGGATGCACCCCCTCATAGAGAAATTATGTCACTAAATTAGATTGTTCAGCCCATCATGTCTCTGCCGACCCTCTGCAGAAACAAATTGTCTCATGCCTCTCCCTTGCCTTTTCCCTGTAGTCCTGAGTGACAACCTTTATAGAAATTTATAAAATTAATGAGAGATATAGATAGGGTTAATGGTAGTTGTCTTTTCCCGAGGGTGGAGGATTTCAAGACTAGAGGGCACACTTTTAATGTGAGGAGAGAGATTTTAAAAAAGACATGAGGGCCAAATCTTTTACACAGAGGGTGGTTCATGTGTGGAGTGAACTTCCTGAGGAAGTGTTGGATGTGGGTTCACTTAGTGTTTAAAAGATATTTGGATAAGTACGTGAATAGGAAAGATTTAGAGGTAAATGGGCCAGGAGCAGGCAGATGGGACTAATTTAGTTTGGGATTATATTTGGCACGAACTGGTTGGACCAAAGGGTCTGTTTCTGTGCTGTCTGACTCTAATGCCCTGCATGTTTTTTTTTTGGAGTACCTATATTCCATACCCGTCTCTCCCTTTCCTCAAGCGTGCCTTCTCTCCCCTGATACACTTTGTGTCTTCTAAAGTTGGTTGAAATGTTCTGAGGGTGCGAATGGTTTGATGTAGATACAAGTTTTTCTATCTTTGTTTCCATACCAAAGAATAATTGTTTTGTCTTGACATTTGCCGTAGGAAGTTGTGAAGCTGATTTACCAAACCTACCGGACGGATGGTCTCTTCAGCCTTTGGCGGGGTAACTCTGCCACCATGGTCCGAGTTGTTCCTTATGCTGCACTTCAGTTTTGCTCTCATGAACAGTACAAACAGATTCTGGGATCCTACTACGGGACCCACGGAAGGTCGGTACACGGGAGCAGGACCATTATTGAGGTGTACTTTTTTAGGGAGTGTTGTGCAAGCTTGCAGCATTTGGACCATCCCACCCAGACCAGCTTACAAATTGGGCCATTCTCTTAGCACCAACTCCTTCCCCTTTCTCTAAATTCTATGAATTTAACAACTACAGAATGTAGAAACTGTTTCTGCATGGAATAAATGGCTGTAGATTTATGGCCTTGTCTGGAGTTAATGTTGGAAGATAGAGATTATTTCATGCAAATGTCATAATCTTTGCTTAGAAACTCCTCTTGTCTGGTTTCCTAATGAATCAATTGTGCCGCCATATGCCTGGATTAATTAAGTTATATTTGAATAGTAACTTACCCTTCTGATTTCAGTTTAGAATCCCACTGCTAATTTTTAAGATTGATGTATCCCAGCAAGGTAGATGCGGTAGAGAGAATAGATTTAGTAGCTGCAGTGCCTTGGAATCTTGGGAGGAGAATCGTTACCTAAAAGATACAATACTGGAAGAGAAGAGCGTTTTGGATGGGAGAAGATGTGTTGAATTGTGAAACATCACTGAGAAAAGGTTTTGCTAGATAACCAGAACAAAAGTGTAATGTACAGGATGAGATTTGACCTTTTTTCTTCTAAACAAAATACCGTTGATGCTAGAGATCTGAAAAACAAAATGCTGGAGGAACTTGTTGGGTCTGGCAGCATCTGTGGAGAAAGAAACAGGAGTTCTGAAGAAGAACTATTGGGCTGAAAGAATTAACTCTTTCTCTGTCCACAGTTGATGCTGGTCCTACTGGGTTTCTGCAGCACTTTATTGGCCATTTATTTGTTTTGCTCTTGCTTCTGGATGGAGATTTCTTGAACACTAATCAGTATCCATATATTTAATAGCCTTTTATTGGCTCCTAAACTTGTCAACAAATCTGACTCCCCAGTATTTCTGTTTTTGTACCTCCCTTGACCATCATAAATTGCCATATAAACATTTTCAATTTTGCAAACCACTTGTGATAATGTAGTTGCACATTATGGTCATGTGATGGCGATATTCCCCACTTTGCTCTTGCCAACCCTACCATTATCACAGTACAGTTTTTATTGTCGAAAATGCAGACCACAGCTCAGGTTACCATCTTACATAAAGAGCATCAATGATATCACACTCCCTTCAGTGGTGTGTTGGAATGTCAGCCTTGAATAACGCATTCAAGCACAAGTTTGGGGTTTGAATGTGCGTGCTCTGGCTCAGTAGGGTGCAAGAGGTAGCTGTCTTGGCTTATAGGTTCTGCTTTCTGAATTGCAATTATGCTAACCAATTTCTTTCAAGTAATGAGTGCTCCTGGGTGTCCTCACGTCATCGCATTTACTCTCACTTTACAACCAGTTTCTTCCAATGTTTCAATACAAGAATGTTTTAAAGCAAAGAACACCATTTCCCACTTTCTTAAAAAAAATCATATTTCAAAAAGCAAAATCTTGATTGCAGAACACCCACTTGTTAGGCCTCAGTTGGAATACTACATGCAGTTGTGGGTGCTACACTGTATAAGGATGTGCATACATCGGAGAGTGTAGAATAGATTTACAAAATGGTTCCAGAGATGGGAAACTTCAGTTGAGGATAGATTGGAGAAGTTGGGGCTCCTCTCCAAGAGAAGAAGGCTAAGAGGAAATTTGGTGGAAGTTTTCAAAATGGTGAAGCTCTGGATAGGGAAGATGGGGAGAAACTGTTCTTGTAACAGGATCAAGATCGAGAAGGCATAAATTTAAAGTGACTTACAAATGTTGCTAAGGTGAAATGACAAAAGCCTTTTCTATACAATGAGAGATAGTAGGAACTGCAGATGCTGGAGAATCTGAGACAACAAGGTGCAGGGCTGGATGAACACAGCAGGCCA